CGGAAGCACACTGATTACAAAGGCCTTAGCCGCTATTTATACTAGTTGCTAACGACCTTACTGACAAGATCTAGATGCATGAAATCATCTAAGACGTCCAAATAAAGTCGATTAATTCCTAGTCACGTGAGAAGCACATGCATCTAATAACCATTGAAAAACAGTTGGAAGAGGATCTTCACAGAAGACGAAATCCGCAGACCCTCTGTGAGCCATCTCAGAGGCTCTGCTGTAATTGACTTGTATGTTCTATTTGCCAGAGGACCATTTTCCAGAACCTCTGTGAGAGACATCAGAGGTTCTGTCATTCTTTACTTGCACGAATATACATCTTCTGTCGCTAGTCCTCTGTTGTCTTCTGTGGAAGATATCCTTCTGTAAAGACTTGCAGAATACTTTTTTCATACTTTTAAAAGAAGTGAATAATTGAGCTAACATACTCGATTAAAGAGCAAGTTGAGACATAGATTATAGCAAAAGAACCAGAGGTTGCAAAACTTCCAAATGACAAAAAGATTCTCCTGGGTTCTGGCCTTGTTAGCATGACAATAAAAGCTAAATTCTCTCCAAATTTGAATACAGGGCAATGAATACAAAGTCTGTTTCCTCTGCATCAAAGGGCTCTAAACCTATTTCTAAGCCAATTAAGTTCACTTCAGAATAGAAGGGAAAATCCACTGCTGACTCTATTTTTAATTCCTCTGTTTCAGAGAGGCCTCTGAAGGCCAAAGGAGTAGGAAGGGATAAGAAGAAAACTGAGAAGATTCATTCTAAAAAGTCAAAACAATCAGATCTAGATAGGAAGTTTGGTAGAACTACCAATGCTAGGAATGATTGTAATAATATGTTCTTTAAATCAAATAAATGATTTTGTCATAAAAAATGTGTTCATACTTGTGAATGTTTCTCTCTGCAACAAAAGTTGAAGAAACATTTCTCTAATCCTAACTGTATTCTCTCTGGGTCATCGAGGATAATTCCGAGAAGGCCCAGAAGAGAAAGAAAGCTTCTAAAGCCAAGTCTGACAAACCAGAGCTCAAGTCTGGTAACTCAGGTGCAGAGACAAAACCTCTCCCACAAACTAAAAACCGATCATCTAACCCTAATTATCGAGGACCCATTATGAAATGGGTACCTAAATCCCTATAATTTGTTTTTCCGAAGCCGCATGTGGACTTTTGGTATCTCGACTCCGGATGCTCAAGACACATGACCGGCAATCAGATGCTACTCTCCTCATACGGAGAGAAAGTTGGAGGTAGAGTAACCTTTGGGGATAATATGCAAGGAGAGATAAAGGGATATGGAGATCTTTTTTAAGGTAAGGTTTCTGTCTCTAAGGTTGCTTGTCTCTAGGATTAAACATAATCTTTTGAGCATAAGTCAACTATGTGATTCTGGCTACAATGTCAAGTTCCAAAAGGAAGCTTGTTCCATTACGTCAATCAGGTTAGGAGTTGCTAAAAGCCAAACGTAAGGGAAATCTATATCTTATGAACTTCTCACCCGGAGATAATTCAGAGACTCTCTGTCTCATATCTCGTAAGTGTGAAGAAGCATGGCTCTAGCATCACAAGCTGTCTCATTAAATTTCCAAAGAATAGAGAAGCTTGTGAAAAATAATCTAGTTGACGGACTTCCTGTCATAAAGTTCGAAAAGGACCATCTCTGCCCTGCGTGTGAAATGGGAAAGCTCAAAAGAGCATCCCACAAAACAAAGACAGATGTGTCCTGTGTCAGACCTCTGCATATGCTTCATGTGGATCTCTGTGGTCCAATCTCTGTGCAGAGCTTGTCTGGTAAAAAGTATATCCTTGTTTTAATTGATGAATATTCACGATATACTTGGATTGAGTTTGTAAGGCATAAATCAGATGTCCCAGAGCTGCTGATTATGCTGATGACCAAGATTCAAGTTCTTCTACAAAGAAAAATTCAAAAGCTGAGGAGTGACAATGGAACTGAGTTTAAGAATGCAAAAATTGATGCATACTTAGACAAGGAGGGCATATCTCAAAACTTCTCTGCAACAAGAACACCACAACAAAATGGTGCAGTAGAAACACAGAATCGCACACTGGTTGAGGCTGCAAGGACAATGCTAGCAAGCTCTGGTCTTCCAACCCATTTTTGGGCAGAAGCCATTAGAGCTTGCTTTATTCAAAATAGAGCAACGGTGGTAAAGAGGCACTTGAAGACGCCTTATGAACTGATAAACCAAAGAAAGCCTAATGTTAAATTTTTACATGTCTTTGGTTGCAGATGTTTCATCCTAAATGACCGTGATCAACTTGGCAAGTTTCATAAGAAGGCTGATGAAGGTAAGTTTCTTGGCTACTCTACACAGACCATGGCTTATAGAGTCTTCAACTAACGAACCAAGACTGTCATGGAGAGCATCAACATCTTGTTCAACGATAAAGAACATATGACTTCAGAGTACCTCAACTCTAGACTCGAGCTTAACAAGTCGACTTCCAATTCTCAAATGAAGTCAAGGGAATTGGAACTCAAGCTCTTATTTGAARACTTCTTTGGCAATGAGGACATCTCTGTACGTGCACCCAGAGATGAGTCTGCCTGTGTAAATGAAGAACCACAATCTACAAGCACTTCAATCTCTTGTCCTTCACACACCTCTGCTTCCTCTGGTGATCTTGCTAATCCACAACCAGAGCAGAAAAGCTCTGGATCAGAGCCCAGTCATACAGAGACATAGCATAACATCTTTGTTTCTGAACCTAGCTCCTCTGTATCATCATCCGAGGGGGAGCAAGCAGAACCTTCTTCGCCATCCATGAGCCAAATGCCTAATATGTCTATAGAACGTGATCAAATGACTCAGACGTCTTTATCTATCCCAACAACAAGACGGCCAATGAATGTTTATTCGTAAACTTTCTAAACATGATAGAGCCTAAGAAAGTCCATGAAGCCCTACAAGACCCAGGTTGGGTTGATGCCATGCAAGAAGAGCTCCAACAATTTGAAAGGAATAAGGTATGGACTCTTGTACCTTTACCAAAGGATAAAATTGCTATTGGTTGTAAATGGGTTTTCAGGAACAAGAAGGATAAGGATAGAATCGTTGTGAGGAATAAAGCCAGGCTTCTAGCAAAAGGCTATTGCCAAGAAGAAGGCATAGACTATGACGAGACCTTTGCGCCAGTAGCAAGGCTAGAAGCTATACACTTATTCTTAGCCTTCTCTGCACATAAAGGATTCCGAGTCTATCAAATGGACGTCATGTCAACCTTTTTGAATGGTAAGCTGAAGGAGGAAGTCTACGTTCAACAACCACCGGGGTTTGAAAGCTCCACACATCTAGAGTATGTCTATTTCTTGGACAAAGCTCTGTATGGACTTAAACAAGCGCCTCGAGCCTGGTATGAACGTCTTTTGTCTTTTCTCTTATCGAATGGTTTTGAAAAAGGAAAAATCGATACTACTTTGTTCATTAAGAGGTATAAAGGTGAGATGCTTCTAGTACAGATTTATGTGGACGACATTATATTTGGATCAACAAATCAGAGGCACTGTGATAAGTTCTCTGCTTTGATGAAGAGTGAGTTTGAAATAAGCATGATGGGAGAACTAACATTCTTCCTTGGCTTGCAAGTAAAACAGAGGGAGGATGGTATTTTTATTAGCCAAGCTAAGTGTGTCTCTGACATATTAAAGAAATAGCAACTCCACAAATCTTCCATAATGAGAACACCAATCGCAACGGGGACTAAGCTTGACACAGATCCATCTGGAAAATCGGTGGATGTTAAGACTTACCATGGAATGATTGGATCACTGCTGTATCTCATGACTAGTCGACCAGACATTATGTTTGCTACGTGTCTCTATGCTAGATATCAAGCAAACCCTAAGGAATCTCACCTATCAGCTGTGAAAAGAATATTTAGATACCTAAAAGGAACTCAATTTCTGGGTCTCTGGTATCTAAAGTATTCTGGATTTGATCTTATTGCATATATAGATTCTGATCATGTAGGATGCAAACTTGATTGAAAGAGTACATAAGGGAGTTGTCAATTACTTGGAGACAAGCTCATAAGTTGGACTTTAAATAAACAAAATTGCGTATCTACCTCCTCTGCTGAAGCAGATTATGTAGTCGCAGCCAGCTGCTGTTCCCAAGTAATATGGATGAAAACTCAACTGAAAGACTATGGCGTTGAGTTTGACAAGAT